AAAACTAGTAGTTAACTGAATGAGCATCATATATATAAAATACCCAAATAATTGTATGAGTGAGCTAGTTGTCACATAAAGATCAATTATTAAAGAAAATACTCAGAACTTTAAAATAACTAGAAATTCTGTACTTGCGTTTGCCATAAAAATTATGATACTGTTTTTCCAGAACTTACAATGGCATAACAACTGTAGTCAGTTTTAAGTCTGTACCGGAATGTACAAATGGAACATTGTGAAATAACATAAAAACCTATAATAGTGTTTTTAAAACCAATGTATTTTAATTCCCAGGATTTTTTAAATGATAAACAGCAAGATAACTAACATATATGAAATAACTCTCAGTTTGCTTCCTTAAACCAATGGAACACAAATTTACGTTAGACTAATACGTACACTAGTTGCCCTCCTAGTGTTCATTCTACAGGACTTCAACACAACTCGAATCAAGAAAGGGTGATTGACCTGACTAGAAAGTGAGTATATTTCCACGTCGACAACTGACTTCAGTAATAATAAGGGTAGGACAATACTTAACACATCTAAGATTTGTCAGACTATCCATTAGTCTGACTGGGTAAAAATCCAGTCATTATTTTCCTTACCCATACATCAATGTAGCGTTTATTATTTATCAGTTCTCTGGTTAATTACATTTTGTGAACATCGTTTACCGTCATACTAAAGCCTTTAAGTATTGCGCTTAAGTTTTATCTCCAAATGGTACATTACTGAATACTGGGGTCACAAATATGTTACTTATATACTGATTTGTATTTGATTCGTAGTAAATGTACTCTGACTATGTTAAGCAATTCATGGCTTTAAAAAGGTTGGTAAACAAGTACCTTTTGCGTAAAATTCATTGCTATCACTTAATTGACTTTGGCTTGGTAAATCATTTTGTTCTTCAGATTGTACCCTAGTAAGCATCCTAAGTTTTAGGTTTCTTTAAATTAACGAAATTTACTTACTTACGCCTGTTACTCCCAATGGAGCATAGGCCGCCGACCAGCATTCTCCAATCCACTCTATCCTGGGTCTTCCTTTCTATTTCTATCCAATTCTTGTTCATTATTCTCATGTCTATCTCCATTTGCCGGCGTAATGTGTTTTTGGTCTTCTTCTTTTCCTTTGGCCTTCAGGATTCTTAGTGAGGGCTTGCCCTGTGTGTCCTATTCACTTCAATGCTCCTTCCCGATTTCTTTCTCCTCTAGAATCTGGTTTGTTCTCCCCCACAGTAGGTTGTTGCTGATAGTGTCTGGCCAACGGAACTGAAGTATTTTGCGCAAACAACTGTTAATAAACACCTGTATCTTTTGGATGATGGCTTTCGTAGTTCTTTAGGTTTCCACCCTTTACAGTAGTACCATCCTGGCATTTGTATTGAGAAATCTGAATTTGGTGTTGGTTGACAGTTGTCTTGAGTTCCAGATATTCTTCAGTTGTAGATATGCTGCTCTTGCTTTGCCGATCCGCGCCTTCATATCTGCATCAGATCCACCATGTTCATCAATAATTCTGCCGAGATACGTAAAGGTTTTTAGATCTGCAAAAGCCTCTCCGTCAAGTATGAAGCAAAATTTCCAATGATATAAACCCGAATGAGTTTTCAGAACTCATTGGTTTTACTAATGAGAGTAAAAAATTCGTGAAAAATTGCTCATCAGGATGTTCAGGAAACAGATATTCATAAAGTAAAAAAATACATCACCTCACAGAAAGCTCAGGGTTGTGTTATTAAAAGATATTACTGAGACGTACTACTACAAACAATTATTTAATTTCATTTCAGATATTTTATTAAAAATGTCGAAACATTTATATCATAAAGTTTTTTTATTTTATAACGTGTTCTGGATTTGGAATGATTGTTACTTCTTATTGAGTGCATAATAATAACTTTTTAAATCCTTTTTAGCCATTTCTGGTATTGAAAACGAATATTGCCTTATAGATGAAGAATAAAAGAAAGAAAATTGATGAAACACACAATTGGCAGTTTTAAAAACTTATAGTCACGCTGTAAATAATTTTTGTACGTCATATACTGTAACATGTTAAGTAAATAATTCGAAAATTTTAGAATTAAAAGTTTTACACAAGCTATTTCGTTTTCTACAAAATCAAACAAAAAGGAACACAAAACGTCCATCTTTAGAATACAGGAAACTGCTCTGAACAGAATAGCGAAGGTTATCTTTTGTTGAGATCGAACTATGCCTAAGATATCGAGACACCTCTCGGTTAATAAAAGTCCGCTTTGTAAACACAAGCCAGTTCGTTTTTGCGTTTCTTTGGATTAAAATGGACTGAGTTTGCCCTCTCCTCAGATCCAATTTACAATTTGGGTATCTCTATCATTTTTAAATCAAGAGCAAATTATTATGACGTTGTAGCAAACAATTAAGCGCATTTAATCCAAATTGCTCTGAAAAGTGAACTGTTGTAACGGGTGTGTATCTGCAGGTTTTGATAAGCAGCGCATTTATCGATCGAAGTACAGTGGACACGGAAAACACGTATGAACGACCTAGTGCCCTGATTGGTCCCGCTTCGCAGTCTGTCCCAGCCAGTTGAGTCAAGAACGCAAGTCACAGCCTCTGAGTTATGAATCATTGTATTTCAAACATACTCTATTTATATACCAAGCAAACAACCCACATCGTACCATAAAATAGGAAACAACATTTGTACAATATTTAAAGAGTGAAATAAACATCGACCAATAAGAAATGTACATTTAAGGTTCAAGGACACCATTGAACTTAACATGGTAATTATTGGTCTCTTTTTCCGACTATCCCAACATGAACTATCAGAGCAACATTCAGGAATGAATCCTTGGTGAATGATCAAGTTAAGAACATTTATTTCAGATGCCTATGGTCCAAGTGACTTTTTTCACTTTAAGTATAATTTATGCCAAAAACCAGATAATTATGATCTATATAGTGCAAACATAGGTATCAAAATCCTTAACTTAAGTTTGGGGATGTAACAGTAGTTTTTGACTTTGACGGTATTTGTGGCTATTCGATTAGAAATGGCGGAAGTTCGCACCACGAATATCACGCCACTCTAAAACGCCCATGATAGCAAATAATTTTGTCATGATAGTTAGTCTTGTCAGAAACTCAATTTCAGAAAACGGTGAGACGAAAGTACTATCTCAGATATTTATAATATAACTGAGTAGCTAAACATTAGTGCATTAAAAGTTATATTCATTGCCTCTCAAAACATTAGTCTCGATCAAGAGTGTTTCCGACTGTTGAATAAGTCTTTTTCACTATAAGTTTACTAATAAGTATATGTAGCAAACGTTATATTTCCTGACGTGTATTATGATGCTACCGAATTTTTAAAAAGTCACTTTACTTGTTCATCAGAAAGGGAACCACATTAGAAGAAAACTGCTGAACAGTTACAAACGCTTAGGAGTTTTAAAGGTAGTAAAACTATAATCTATTCAAAAACGTAGATCGGAAAGTTTAATAAATGTTGTGTGTAGACCCTGTTTGGTATGAACATAATGGCTGGTTACTTAACTTCAAGTGATATTATGGTACAATAATACATGATATAACGATCATTTGTCTACGAATGCAATCTGGTGGTTCTCAAAGATTAAGATGCACAGCATCGTAAGTTTTTCGTTAAATTTAGAGAAAGGCTTAGTTAACTATGAATAATATTCAAAACTCCCTTCCACATCTTGTACATTGGCGGAAAAATGAATCGAGGTTAGAGAAAAAGGCTATTTTATAGGAACTCAGGAATTAGTCTCATTGCTGGTGACATTCGCTACTTTCGAATTTGTAATGTAAAAACTGTACGATGGATAAACGTTTAAGAAATATTTGGATGTTTAAACTTTTAGTTTTGTAAAACCATTTTAAATAGTAGCCAACACAGGATTGTAACACGATCTGACAAAAATGAGTCACCTCATTAATTTTGCTTTGCATTAATCTACATAGAAATCCTTTTTGTAAAACAAAGAAAATATAGTAATGTCCTATATTTGACCACATATAATCAATAATTATTAACTTGTGGTCTAAATCAATATGATTTAAGGACTTTTCATATCGACAAATAAACAAGTTAGGGATAATCTGAGAATAAATTGTTTTACAACTTGTTCAATGAATAAAAGTTTATCGTGTATAAATAGTGAACTTTAACTTCTATCACTCGATTAAAATTTTATTCGTTTAGTTAATCCAAAAGTTATTTTTGATTGATATGAGTTTCATTATTTAAAATTTAACATTAGATAATATTTTGGGATTACAATTGATAAAGATGGAAAAGAATGGGAGACAAATACTTTTGAAAAATCCACTCATTGGATAATCTTAAAAGAAAAATCCCTAAAAAATTAAATTCGTACATTTTGAATATAATCACTTAAAACAAAATATAACACCCAACTAGTTTGTAAAGATTAAATTAAAAAGAACAGTTACAATAAACATTCATCAGCAGAAACTTGTATCTGATTCATTTAGTAAATGAGATAATCAGTATAAGAGATATTATGGAAACAAAGATTTTTTATGAAGCTTTAAGATTCTCTATTTTATTCAATTATAATACTATTGATAATAATAATCATAATAATAATAACAGTAATAATCAGATTCATAATAAAACACAAATATACTTGCAATAAAATACATGGATATATCACTTGCATGGAGGGAAAGAGTTCAGAAACGACATCAAAGTAAGCAAAAAAGTAATATTAGTGAACGGAAAATATATTTTTTTGTTTCAAGAAAGAGTTAAATCGAAATAAGCATCTAAAATAAGTTGATAAAAACAATAGAGGCAAGTATTTATCAAGCAACATACATATATATTTTTATATATCATCCTGAATGAATGCACAATAAATTGAAATAATCATTTTCATTTCATAAAAAATTGCATAAATGTTTAATATTTTCATTTTATTCTTCTTACTCTTTATATCTTCCTTTGAACTAAACAAAATATGATTGGAACCGAGATTTAGTACAAACGCGACATCGACTTATTTCACGTAGTACTTTAGTTTCATCTGGTAAATGATCTGTAATATATTGACCGACTGGTTTTTGAAATTCTGTATTATTACTAACATGACGTAGATAATAAGCTTTTGCATCTGACCAATAATTGCACAAACTCATACCATTATTACATTCTAATAATGGAGAATAACTGAAATATTCAAGACAGCTGCCAGGCGATGAAAGTTGTTGACCACCACCAGTACTTCCAACACTATGCTATTAAAAAAAGAATATTTAAAATGATATATTTATTATGTATTCATAAAATCATTTTTTTATCCTCAGTTCCAATACCATGGTTTTGAGGGATAAATCATTTAAGAGTTGTTTGTTTTATATACTGGACATAACGTATCTTAGTTAGACTTTGTTTCCTATGTGTCCATGAACAAAACCTTTTTCATTCATTATACTTTGTGATGATAGATTGGTTTTTTAGCTTTGTTCTCTATAAGTTATACGTTTAACTACCAAATTATTAAGTGTTTTTAGCTTTCTTACTGGAAGGACTTTGAAGACCGTTGGTATTAGTAGATAATTTATGACTCTAATAACTAACAGCTATAAGACTAAGCCATATATTCCTCCTAAGTAAAGTGGTAATTCATTCATAAACATCACTGGTTGTTTTTCAAAATAAACTTTATTTCTGAATATTACTAATGATTATAAAGACCGACTAAACGACAATGATCTCGCGTAATGAAAATTATGAGACAGAGAAAAGAAACAAAATATAAACTAATGTCTGGAAGAAGATATCTATACCAATTATTTTAAATATATGGCGATAGTTGGTATTAAAACTTTACAAACATTTGAACAAAGTGAAAAGGATGAGTAATTTGTGGAGTATTACATCTGTCTTTTTGGATGAAAATATAATGAAGGTAGATTTAAAATTTAAATCACCGTAGAAAATTGATACATACTGAATTCTGTCAGACCATTACTCTTAATTGTAGAGAAACACCAACATGACTTGTTACAAAATAGTAATAAAAATATAGATGAACAAAATGCTTTTCTATGATATCTCTTGATATAAAAAAATGATCAGGTGGCACTGTGATCACATTTGTATTTTCTACTTCGCCCAAGGTTTTAAAACATTATTTACGTACATGCGGGTGGCTTAGAAGTGTGTTCGATATGTTTACCTACCATAGATTTAATAAGCTATACTTTACAGAGTTAAAATTGTTCAACTGAAAAAGCGTATAGATTTATAATCTCACCATTACAAAGCTATATCCATCCCAAAGTCTTGCCCAGCCTTCTGGACAGTTAACTTCTTGAAGTTGATTTGCTTGTGCATGAAAAGCATAAGGTTGTGTTGGTGCTTCACAGACAACACACCGAGCAACTCTTCGAGTAACTTCGCTTACATCTAGTGGCATCATTGGAAGAGGTTCTGTGGTAGCTAACCAGTAAGAGCGATCAGCTCGAACACCAAGTTGACAAGATCCATCGCGAAGGCATTGGAAAAATGGCATTATACTGAACATACTTAAACATGAACTATGAGAACCTGAAAAAAGATAAACATTCGCAATTATTCATATTAGGTGGTAAGTAAATAAAAATAGGAAAAAATTCTACTTCTCAATATAATAAGAATACGAAAGTTATTTTTTTGTTCTGAATATATAAAAAGTTATCAGAATCTAATATATGAGTTGTAAGTAATTATCAAAACAAACAGGTATGATAGCAATAAAAACCTTGGCGAACCATTTTAGATAAATGTACCATACTGTATATTTCGTTTTTGTGGAATTTTGTCTACAGATTTTAATTAAATTGTCAAGTTGTTTATTAACAGTGTAAAAATAACATGTAGTAATGAACAGTGGGCAAGTTGGCTTAAATAGATTTGTATTAAGTTGTAAGTTGAGCTGTAACATATAAATTTAAAAATGACTTTACCATAGATTTTATCTTATACCTACACAAAACCTTTTTTTTTCCTTACTCTCTGAGCAAAACAGTCATAAATGATCATTGTCGATTATTTCAATCACCGACATCTAGCAGTGAATGACAATGATATCTTATTTAATCGATTACTGACCTTAAGTTGTAATACATTCTAGCTTTTTGGTAAAACACATATGTTGCTTTTTAAGCTATTTCAGTCAGTCGAATATACACTGTACTATTCAAGTAGCGAGGACCTTTCCCCAGAAGTATTTGTTGAACATTGTTGCAAAAACAAAAACATCTCAGAACATAAAGAAATGTTTTGTGATATAAAATTATTTTCATCTCACTATCTAAAATTTATACAAAAGAACAAAACAGTTTGTAGATTCAAAGGCTAATAAATAGTTAATACATACCTAAATCCATGGTTACTAATTCACCATTTCCATTAGCCATTACAAAACTATATCCGTCTGATATTTTTTGTGAACCTGGAGGACATACAGGTTCAGTGTCAGGATTTTGGAAATGCCTTGTGAACAAGTAGGTGCTCTGTAGTGCTTGACCAGGAGGACCACTGAATCCTTCAGGTCCGGGGGTCCAACATCTCCAGGCATACCTCTTGGACCAATATCACCAGGAGTACCTTTTAACCCTGGATCTCCTTTCGGCCCTGGTTCTCCAGGTTCTCTACCAGTGGGACCGGGCAATCCCATTTCTCCTTTAGCTCCTTTTAATCCCCGTAGTGCCGGCTCCCCAATCATACCTTTTTGTCCAGGTGCTCCTGGTTCACCTTTGTCTCCTTTGACTCCAGGAAGACCAATAGCATCTTCTCCAGGCATTCCATGTGCACCTATTGGTCCAGGATCACCAACATCTCCAACTTCACCTTTCATTCCAACTGTTCCTGGCCAACCAGTATCTCCTTTATCACCTCTAGGGCCCAATAACCCTGGTCTTCCGTCGTCACCTGGCAATCCAACATCCCCTGGGGGACCTGGATCTCCAATAGGACCTCTTGGGCCAATATCTCCCGGCATCCCCACTTCACCTTTTTCACCTTTAATTCCAGGATAACCTCTTTGACCCTTAGCACCAGGTAGGGCCATATCACCTGGATCTCCTGCCTCACCCTGTTCACCTTTTGGACCTAATTTATGACCATAAAGAAGGAAACAGGGAAGTTTATGAGCCACAGATTGTGAGCATTCAAAAATGTACATCAAGAATATTGGAATCTGAGTTCATTCGCCACGAATCCCTTAAAACAAATATTTATATATAAACATTTAGTGAATATCTAACGTTAGTAAAAGGATATCACTATCGTCAGTTATCATTAACTGCACAAAATAAGAAATCAACTTCTGTAATGAGGAAAGAAGTTTGTTGCATTGAAACAAAGACAATCTAATGAAATACAACCTGGATCAAATAGAAGCTGTCACATTTGAACCAAGACCAAATAGTCATAACGGGAAGTCGATGGAGTAACTTGTGGTAAGGTGAATACAAATGAGTTTCTAGTCAGTAACTTTTATCGTAGTAATAACTCTTGATTTAGAC